ATATATATACACACACACACATATACTTCAAAGATAGGAAAGTGTTCAGGGTATAAGTTGTTGTCATTTGTGGAAGCTGCATTTAAATCAGTGTTGATGATACCATGATTAATGATGACTTCTCTAGTAAAGTTATGATGGGGTAAAATGCTACTTTAAAACTCTTCATAAACATAGTAGATATTTTAAGACTTGTGGAAAAAGCGATAAAATAAATACATGAAATAATACATTGAAGAATAGAAATAGTATTTCTATGGTAGCTAATTTCATTATTTTGTCCTGATGTTCTTCACAGAAGATTTTTCCCTTCTTCATAATTGGCTACACTTATCCAAGTAACAGTATTTGTATTTAGTGGTATATATTAATATTAGTTAATTTGTTCAGCATGCTGGTGCTACTTCAGCTCATGAATAAATGAGAGTTCTGACATTATTATTTCTGGTAGCTCTAAAATACAAAAAATACTTTGTGGAAATAAACGGTTTGTGAAAAATGTAATTTAGTAATGACTGATTTGTAGAGTAGGGCAGTATGTCGCAGTTTTCAGTTGCGTGGTTTAAATTCTATATGAATAAAAAGAAAACAGATTTTTTTTGTTATACTCAGGTGGTTTTTATAAATAAAAAAATGCTAATGTGTGGCTATCTTTTGTAGTTTAACACAGCAGCCAAACAGCTGATAGAGTTGGATAAGCCCTCAGGTTCTGCTGTTGACTCTGGAGAAGGTACCTCTGGGGCAGCCCACAACAGTTCAACCCAAAAGCACACCGATACCAAGAAAAACACCAAAAAACGGCACTCTTTTACCTCCCTCACTATGTCCAACAAGTCTTCACAGTCTTCTCAGAATCGCCACTCAATGGAAATTAGTCCGCCTGTCCTCATCAGCTCCAGCAACCCAACCGCAGCAGCCCGCATAAGTGAGCTGACAGGACTTTCCTGTAGTGCCCCTTCTCAGGTAATTTACATGAAATCAAACATAAATTGTGTGCATGTCTTGTTAATAACTATAAAGGTTTCTGCTCTCATCAGACTTCTTCAAATTATTACTTGTATGTAATTAACGTTAACATACACTTTCAAAAAGTTTATCTTCCAGCATGAAAGCGTTGAAGGCAAATGTTTTATAATGCTTCTTATACAATAATAGCAAGTATTTTTGGTCTTGTAATTTTTTTCACAGTTGGTAATTTCATAAGTGCCACGAAGATTTTTATTAAGCTGTGGAAACTAGAAACTGGAGTGATTTAATTTCTTTATTTTTTTTCCCTAAATTTAGTATAATACTAGATATTAATAAAGAAATGCAAGTAAAAGGTAAATTCAACTTGAAAATTGCATAAATTCCAGAAATGTACAGTATTAATCTGATTGTGATAAGTAGAAATATTTATCTGGCTTTATGTATTGTTAATCTCCTTGAAGCTTTTAGTTACAAACTGCAGTAGTTCATGAATAATTTGTCTGTTTCACACAGAGATTACATTTTGGGAGAAGAGATAGTAATGCAGACTTTGAAGTGTTGGTGTCATTTTACATGAGCTAGTAAAGATGTTTTATTTGGGATGTCTTTGTTATGTGGCAGCCTTTTATGGCAAAAAAAGAAAACCGACATTGGTAAAAGTATGGTTCCCATGGCTAACTCAGTGTATCTCCAAAGTTTCTGAAACATCAGGAGAAAAAAAAGTGAGCAGTGCAATCCGATATTGTTTTTATGAATACCAAAAAATTAGTTCTAAAGTTACAGATGAGTACTGATGGTTTTGACCATGTGTCAAAACCAGCTCTTATTGAACTACTCAGAACTGACCCTGCTGGGTTTTTTTTAACAGGTTCATATCGGTACTACGGGGCTAATTGTGACTCCACCCCCTAGCAGCCCAGTCACAACAGGGCCTTCATTTACCTTCCCTTCAGAAGTTACTTACCAAGCTGCTCTTGGTGTAAGTACTGCTCAAGAAAACAGCCTTCCCACTCATCTTTGGTCTGTATGGTCTTTTTCTTGTCTTGCGCTCTGATCCATTGATTTGAAATGGTTTTATGATGATTCTTTATCTGACAGACAATGGTATAAATTGAACTACAGCAAAAGCATTATTGATACTATAATGTTTGTCCTGTCATGCATATCCATTTCTCCAGTTTTCCTCTGTCATTTTCCTGTAGTAAACACAAGAAGCACACTTTCTTCCAGAACAGTGTTTCTCTTCAGCATGAGTAGGAAAGAAGATATGCTGGGGAGAAATTAGGGGAAACATGCAAGATCTTGCAAAAATACATCAATTGAGACTACAGCTGCCAGATATTTGTCTTACTTAATATTACCAATATTCCCTGAAATAAGTTTCAGAACTCTGCTTTCTCCTCATTAGGATGACTTTAGTTGTGTGTACGCCTGTGGCAGATGAAGAACACATCTTAGGTTCTTGGAGATCAATATGAAAAACTGTTGCAAATGGCCATCTTTTAAAGGAAGGAATACAATGCAATGCTGTTTCCTTTGGACAAAGAAAATAACATTGCCTTCAAAAAGCGCAGGATTTCATTTTAAAAACAACTGGAATTCCTTATTTGGCCTTACTTGTGGTAGGGAAGCTCTGGGATGCCCTAAATCATACTGCACTTATCAGAGCCTGAGCTTAACTGCAGTAAAGATTGTGGATACCAGTTTTCAGAGCTCTTCAAGGGAACTTCATGAGCCTTTATTTTAATCATAGGAATTCTTGAAATTCAGTTCTTGTTTTGAGTCCAAAAAATGTGCCGCTAACATTGGGAGTGGGGGAAGAGGGAGGACACATAGTTTAGTAATAAATCTCCACTTTAAAAATACCCAAACCAAACACAATAACAAAAAGCCTCCAAAAAACCACAGCCCCCTTTCCCCCCCCAAACCTGCAACACAATAAGCAACCAAACAAAAACCTCCAAGACTCGATCTTTTTTAGGTGTCTAATTATCCTTGCAGTCTTTAAAGCAAGTAAAACATAATGAATAGCTTTGCTGCTAAATGTGGTTGGTTTTGTTTCCAGCTTTCGTCACTTGGATCATTTTACACATTTGTCTGCAAAATCAAAGGCAGAATTGTCTGTCTTCTGTTATCAACTTTTTGTTGTTTAAGTAAATGCTTAGGTGTGGCTTGGTTGCAGCTGAGAGGTTACATTTTGACAGCCTTCTTTGGGACTCTAAGTTATCTTTTTCAGTCCTTAAAATTATGATGCTATGTTTTTCTGAATTATCTCTAGTTCTTTCTTCTAGCATGGTAAGTGCATTCCAGAACTGGGTACAGTACTGCACGATCTTTTTCAGTGATGAAATATTGATAGTATAACCCTTTTACTTTTATCTTGTTAGTGCGATGTTTAGATCTTGAGAATTTGCATCCATGCATTTGGCCTGAGTGTAGCAAAAGTTTATGTTCAGCCAAATATCCACCATGATCCCACAAATTTTCATTGTCATTAGTGATGTACTAATTGCTCTCATCCAAGTAAATGTTATTTCACATTCCTTGTTCTTCAGACAGATGACCTTATTATTGACGATTATACAGACAGTATGCTTTTGCCCTGCCTTACTGAGTAACACGGGTTGTGCTGTAGCAATTCAGTGTCATTTCATTGTTAACAACTCCTTCACTGTGTGGATCATCTGTACAGTCCTGCTGTTAAACATATGCTATGGAACAAATTAAGGGAACCAATTAATAATCTCCTTATATTTAGATTAATTTTTAATGACACCGAGCAGGAAGAGACTGGAGGTCATCTAGTCTGCTCAAGCAAGGCCACCTAGAACCAGTTGCCCTGGATGGTATCCAAACAGCTTTTGAGTATCTCCACGGATGGAACCTCTCTGGGCAACCTGTGCCAGTGGTCAGTCATTCTTACAGTGAGAAACTGTTTACTGATTTTCAAACTGAATCTCCTGTGTTTCAGTTTGTTTTTCACTGAGCACCACTGAAAAGAGCATGGCTCCATCATCTTTGTCTCTTCCCTTTAGGTACTTATATACACTGATGAGATCCCCGTGAGCTTTTTCTAGGCTGAACAGTCCCAGCTCTCTCAGGCTTTCCTCATAAGACAGATGCTCTAGTCCCTTGATGGTGGCCCTTCACTGGGCTCTCCAGTATGTCTGTGTCTCTTGTACTGGTGAGCCCAGAACTGGACACAGTAATACAGGTTTGGCCTCATCAGTGCTGAGGAAAGGGGAAGGTTTGATCTCCTTTGACCTCCTGGCAAGACTCCTTCTAATGACGCCCAGGATACCATTACCCCTTTTTGCCACAAAAGCACATTGTTGGCTCATGTTCAACTTGGTGTCCATCAGGAAGGACCTTCAAGGTTGTTTTTTTTTAATTGGGATATGAGGTGCACATCTACAACTAGAAACAATGAGCTGGTTATATGCTAATCCATGTAATCTTCTATACTTCTTTCATCCTGTCCTTCAGAAGATACCTGTGAGAACTGAGCAAACAAAATCAGTTTTGGTATCTTTTGTGCTGTTAAGCAGAGTACAAGTCTAGCTAACATATATGCTGCAGTCATTGAACAATTGATTTAATTTGTGACTGAGATACATTTTGGAGATGATGGGGAAGGCAGGATTCAAAGCATCATTTCAGAAGTTCTGACAGAAGTTGCCTTTTTTTTTTTTTCCCCCTTAGTAACAAACACTTTTGTTATCAAGAATCAGTAGTTCTTTCTTTAATGCCAACATGGAAAAATACTTTATTTTGGTGCCAGTGCAAAGTCATTAAACCACCTCGGGTGTTTTAATTGCATAAGTTTGTTCAAAAGCGATCTCACCATTGGTCCCCACAGGAATTAAATTACAGTGCTAAAAGCACCATGGAGTGAAACTCCTGCCACATGATTGTCCTGTATCCTGGAGTGCTGCTTTCCTTTCGTGATAACCATGTTCCCGGTTATGTTTCCAATTAGCCATATAATTCCCATTGAGAATCTGAATTATTCTCTGCCACCCTCTTTAAAAGTCAATAACCTTCTGTACATAATGTTCTGTTTCTTCTTGTTTCAGCATGACTAAAATACAAGCTGGCAGCTCAGGCTAGAGTCAGGTCGTTCTTGTGTACTTTTACTGTAGATGATATTAAATGATGCAGTTTATAGTCACAGCCTGTGAAGTGTGTCTTTTAAGTCTCCTTTCCTCTTGCTTCATAAACTCTTGTTTTAATTTTAGAAATGTGCAAAATGGTTCTGACAGGTCAAGAGAGGAAGTGATGTTCTTGTTTCTAGATGTTCCCCTTCTGGAAATACCCTTCTTGACATTCTGAGCATTAATTTTAAGCCATGGAGCAATTGTGATTGTATGATAAGTGGTTGGCTTGAATCCTTTTGCTTTTATAGTTTTTGCTTCTGTAAGTATAAATTCCTGCAATTCTCTAAGCTTCTCACTTTTGGCTTTTACTTCATTGCTGAATGCTAAGTAAATGACAAGGGAGTTGGATTGGAACAGAGAGGGTTTCTCTTTAGCATGAAGATGATTTAATTGGATCTTATTCCTGCCGATCGTTTTGGTACTTATAACACTATTTAAAGTAATAATTGATTATTCATTGAGAGCAAGCCATTTACACAAGTTCTTTTACTTCTTTGCCAAACTAAGATTAAGAGAGAAAGAAGAAAATTGAGAGGATGATCATGATTCCCCATCACTGTAGAAGAAAAGGATATATTCCTTTATAGTAGTCCTGAATTTATGCAGCTTTGCTACATATATGTGTCCTGAATTTAGAAGCAAAGGAGAGCCGGTTTCTTCTCTTATCTTCTGTAAGAAAGATGGCTTCTTTTATTGTTAAGAGGAAATATTTTGAGCTGTCTTGTTGGGTAGCAAGTTTAAGACAGTTGAGATTAATTCCTAAAGGAGCCTGTGAGTCATTTGTCTGTGTACATGCATAGGATCGCATTTTAGTTTTACGTTATTTTGGGAAATACTATGGTGGTTCAAAAAATGCCAGTTTTCTTAACTATTTAGTCCATAATAATATTTTATAGATGTTATTTGGTACCAAAAGTTTTATGAAGTAATCTACACATTTGTAGCCAAAATTGACACAAATAAGACCTAAGAATAAGAGTGTTTCTGTCAAGTCACCATATACACTATCTGCTGCGTGTATCATTTAAGCAAATTTTAATTTGCACTCAGAAAACCTGTGATAATTTGAAGTTTTCTTTCACAGCAGCAGTTCTTTAGCCTAGTTCTTTAGCCAGCAGCATTAATTCTTGTTTTGTGTTTTGAGGTTTGATTCTTTGAAATTAAAGAAGCTATGAACCAAGACAAACTTCTCACAGCTGAGGCTTTTGACTGTGGTATGATCACTTACACTTTTCTCTGGGACTTCAAACCACAACTTTGCCCTTTAAGGGGGTATTAATTGGTCTGCTCTTCTTGGCCACTGGCATTTTCGAACCTTGTAGATGTCTATTTGAAGTTCTTTATAAAATATAAATAGCAGATGTCAAGTTCAATAGTTGTTGGGTGAAAATATGCATGTATAATTATGTAAGGCTCATTTATTTGGGAGGAAATTCTTGGATGTAATTTATAAGGTAGTTATAGAGGAGATCTAGTTGAAAAAACTTTTAAAGCAAGTATGTGATTTGAACCATGATATGGGAAAACTGAGACAAAATATACTGCAGCAGAGATAGTTACATTCAAAAGCAGCAAAAGGAAAACAAAATGTAGCAACAGCAGATAACTTAACCTTCCTTTCATTCTGCCTTTACAGTCTCTTGAGAACATAAAAGTATTTCGGACTGCAGTTGACCTAGATATCCATATTGCTACTTCTGCAGGTTGAATATGTTGACTTTGAAATGGTGTCTTGGTATGTGCAATTATCTAGCAGAAATAGGTGGTCTGTATTTGGATGGTTTACACTCACTTCCGTGCTGAAGGTTTGAGAAATATAAAAATATCTGTTTTTTCTGGTCCTGTTCTCTTGCCCACACACACAGAAAAAATTACCCCTCTATGTTAAAGCATATAAGGTAGTCTGAATTATTATTAATGAGGTACAAGCTGAGGGTTATAGTATACTGATGACATTTAGCATTCTCTCATGTAGTTCCAGATGATTCAATATTGTAAGTCAGTCAGGAGGATGTTTATAGAAGAACTGTCTGAGTTTTAACCAACAAAAATTCAGATCAACTTTTGTTGGGAAGAGAAAGCAGCTGAAAGAAACTACGGGGTTTTGTAAGAGAGCCCTGTTCTTGATAACATATATTTATAGTTTGGGAATTTTGTTAAACATGAGCCTTAATTTGTTAGCCCTCAGGGGATTTTGCAAGTCATACATTTTTTCCTAGACCTTGTGGGAGTGAAGACAGTTACTGAATGTTTTTTGTTCCCACTGCTGTGCCTTTTATTGTGTTTTGGATGAGCTGATTATTGATCTTCAGTGGGAATGCAACGCAGTTATGTTTAAACTTAATAATATGTATGTGTTTCTAGAAGATGAGTCTAGATACTGTTTGAAGTTTTACATAAAGTATTGAATTACATTACGTTTCATCATCATTACATTACATTTCATCATCCAATTAAAAAATATATTAGCACTTCCTTGCTGTTTTATATGCTTGAAAGTACACCTATCTGAAAAGTAGTTGCAGAAACTTCTGATTTCCCCCCTTCACTACCTAAAATAAAATGCTCTTAATTGTTTTGATAAGCATATCTTATCGAATCATGTGCGGTTTACGTATATTCTTTCACAGTGTTGAATATGGGAACCATCAAAACTAGCTTGTGCTCTGGAGGTAGGTATGTTTCTCAATAGCTAGAAAAATGGTTGCATGCCAGAAAAACTCTTGAAAACTTGGCTAGAGCATTTGGACCTATTTATCAAGTTGTAGCAGTGCAAGCTGAAGAGCGTTAGTCCTCTAAAGCCTATCCGGTAGTTTATTTAGATTTCTAAATGCTTGCCAAGTCGTTAGGAGTTTAATTGGGCTGTGGCTCACTGCAGGTTTCATTACCATAGTAATAGACATGGAGAGGGCAGCAGAAACTGAATAAAGCAGAATAAACTAGAGCTGGGAAGGTGCCTTTGCCGCAGCTAAAAATTCAATGTGTATTGTGTGTTCAAATGAATAAAATACAACACCCAGCATTTATATCTTTAGAGATGCAGGAAGTGCAGAATCGTGACAACCTTGATATTGTGCAAAAAATAGGTTTAATTTTACAGATTTTCAGCTAATCATCTCCTAATGCGGGTTTACAGCTTCTACCATCTATAAAGGAATCTAGATGATTAAAAAAAGACTTTAATCTATATTCTGTAGATGGGTTGCATAGAAGTTAGATGCTCTTGTTCAGATTGGGTTTAACGAAGACATTTTTGAAGCTGACTGGGAGGGGGAAGTAACTTCTGCTGTAAAACAACTGAACGAGAAAAGCTGGTGTTGCGCTATGAAGTATCAAGGTATTTTAGAAAGATTGTTTTATGGATGGGGATCTAGAATGTGAAGGAAATGCAATTGCCATTCTTGTGAATAACTGAACTGTGTATCAAAGCTCTCCCGCAGATCATGTCTGCTTTGTGTGGGATACAGGAGGTCTATTTGGTCTTAAGAAATTGTTAATGTACAATCAGAAAAAAGCTTTAAAGAAAAATAGGAATATTTCATGGTATACCATGCAATTTATATCACAACTAAGTGTGAGAATTTTGACTGAAAAACTAGAAGAGTTAATCAGTTTTCTCTAGATTTGAAAGCTTTTAGTCATGCAGCTCTTCACTGTGTCTTGACAGAGTAAGACTAGTTAACAGTTAACCCAAATGTAGAGAGGTAATAATAGCTTAGTGTACACCTAAAACTTATTTTCCCTCTAGGTTTTTGCATGGAAAAACAAGAATGAAAGAAGACACCTTTAGAAATAGGGTGTCTGAGGGGAATTAAAATTACTTTCAATTACGTAATTTCCAAACTGATAATGTAACACTGTGCATTTATATGCTGATGTACTGGAAAAGCCAGGCAATAGTTCAGGACATTTTGGTAATTTATATTTTTGTTAGGTGTTTTCTAAACCTGAAGTGGTGTGGCTTAGAGTTTTGTTTCAGTATTGAAGGATTGTGTTCAGTTGAAGGTCATGTTTGAAATTAATTAGGTTTTACATTTTCAAATGTTGGAGGTTTTTCATTACTCTCTTTGCGTGTGTTGTAACACAAATAATTATTTTGGGAAGGGGGGAAGGAAAAGTTCTCCTTTTGTGAGAGACTTTTCCCAGGAGTGTCAGTACACAAGGTCCTAAAGAATTGTCTGAGGCTTTACAGAGTAGAAGGTAACAATTGCTCCATTGATTCTCAAAAGGCATAGAAATCTGTAGGCAGGACCCCCATTATGATCTGCCTGTAAAAGAACTGCGCCTTTTTACTGGGGTGTTTGTTAAAGATTACCAATCTTGATAATACTGAATTTCAAAAGCTAACTCTTTAAACTGGAAGAATAGGAGAAAGCGGTAACAATAGCTCAGTGACTGTGGTCTTGTATTGTGCTGGCTTTTGTAACCCATACATCAAAGGAAAATTTCCCCTAGAAGGGTGGTTTTGGGTGCACTGCTGCTGAATTGTATATTATGTTTCAGCTTCAGGTTACAAAAACAATCATGTTTTGAAGTATAGTCAGCAGTTAAGATGCAAAATCTGCCTCCTGGAAGGCTTCTCAATTTTTGTGGACTCCTATCCTAAACATGTTATAATTAGAAACAATGCTTTCAGTTTTTCCTGTGCTGAGAAATTGCTCGTCGTTTGCTTAATTAGCTGCCAAGACTTCAAGATTTTTAAGCTGGGAAAGGAGAAATACAGAGAAACCGAACTCTCCAGTTGTATCATACCAGTAGGTAAAAGAATACTGAACTTGGCTGTTCCTCCCCCGTTTCCTTAGAATATCATGTGCCTTTTTGTTCTTTTTTTTTTCCAGCTGATACAACTCATCAAACAATATTGATCATCTGTGTCTATTTTTTTGTTCTCCTAAAATCAGAATATGAATCCCCCACTTCCGCCACCACCTCTCTTGTCTGCTGCAATCATTGCATCGGCTTCTTCTGGACCTCAGTCTGCAGGTGTAATACAAAGGCCTACATCAGGATCAACTGACCAAATGGCACATTTACGGCCACAAACTCGTCCAAATGTGTAAGTAAAATTGAAACTTTTTGCCAGTCAGAAAAATGGAACATGATCAGTAACTTTACACATACTCGTATCATGCCAGCTGGCTGTGTTCTGCTAGATTTCCCAGAAAGCCGAGCATACATTCGGAACAAGAGCAACAAAATATACATATAGGTGATATCCCCAAACGGCCTTCATACTGAGAGTTATTTATGTCTTAGATAAATTTAATCAGCTGTTGCTGTGTATAGAAAGGACTCACTTCAAAAATACGAAGTATTTATCATGCAGAAGATGAATGAATCCTTGCGTTAGCAATGAAGACTCTGTAACTCGCAAGTGGCAAATATTGGAGTGAATTTACTCAAGGTTTTCTGTTATATATGGTATGAACAAGCTATTCTCGAATGGCATAACTTGGCCAAAACACAGAAAGTACTGTATTTCATTTAGACTGTTATATTAGCATGTCATTATCAGACTGCTTGTATAAGTTGCAATTGAAATTTGACTTGTAATTCTATAGTTCACTTAATTAGTGGGTTGCAGTTGGGAATGAAGGCAAAAAGCTGCTAGTTAGCATTATGTCTTCACACTCATAATACAAGCAAATGGGTGTCATCCGTCTGGGTGAAAATATTTTGTATATTAACATGTGCTGCTGACAACATCTTTTCTCTTGGAAACTTTTTTGTTGGAGCTTGGAGAATTAGAACCATAAAAGAAAAAGTAAAATTCAGGAGTGGCTGCACCATCTAAATAGGACATGTTTGAATAATGCAGGGACTGCTTTTGTTCTGTGTCTTTATTTTATTTTCCCGCCAGGTTTTCTCCCACTCCAAAAGAGCACCCTTCTTGTATAGCAGGTGCATCTGGATTTGGGCTGTTTCTTTGGTGTCAAGCATTCTAACACTGCTTCTTATGGATTATTGTGTTTAGTTGTACTTAATCAAGCTCCCATCTCATTTATTCCCATCCTTCATCTTCAAAGGGTTGCTCTTAATCAAGATACTAATGAAATTTGGAATGATTTAACCAACAGGGAAGTTAATGAACACCAATTAAAGCACCTCAGTTCCTTTCCCATAGAGCTTCACTATGTGGCTTTGTGGATCACCCCTGTATCATGTACCAGTGAAGCCTTTTGTTGCCAGTGTGTCATATGTTGCCTTTAGAGCCTATTTTGGACTTGCTTTACCAGGTACCTATACTGCATTATCTGCAAAAATGCTTTAAAGGCACAGTTTCCTGGGTGGACAACAAGGAACAAAACTAAAATGCAAAAAGAAGCATACAGTAAATGCTGCCATTACAGCGCACAAGAGCCAATTCTGATGAAAGGATGTTTTGTAAAGCTGCTTTTATACCCTTAGGGTTACACGGGGAGTGGAAAAGACTAGCATTGAAAGTAATTGTGGATCCCTTTTCAAAAAAGGGGATATTGCATCTGTCTACCCTAATTGGCTGCCTCCTGAGAAAAGTATATTCTTTTTGAGAAAATGTGATTTATTAGAATGCTATTTCCCCTAGGTCTGTAATTATATAAACATTTTTATATAAATGGTTTAAAAGTTGTCTTACATTCAGAGTGTGGCAGAAAATAAAGCACTGGGGTCGTTGAAACAGTATCAGTTTTAATGTGACAATTGGAAACTGTGCAATCTTATTTGAAGATTTCCCTAAGAATATTCCAGCATCAACCGTAGGATCTTCAGTTTTATTTTTACTGTTGGTTTTTTTTTTTTGTCTCTAAGAATGTCTTTTTAACAAGTAAAAATGAGAAATATTTCTGAACTCTCACTATGGTTTCAGATGCACTGTGTTATGCATTAATGTTACTTGGAAGTAAACAAAAGAAAGGAACTTTACAAGTGAGTAACTTGTAAAGTTACTTGTAAAGCTAGCTGCCTTACCCATAGACTTCAAGTTCTAGTAACATCTTTCTTTTAGGCACACAGTTGCACAGGGAGATTCCAATTTTGCAATCTGAAAAGTAGTTCTGATACTGATTTTTCACTCCTAACTAACAGAACTTCTCAGTTCTCCCCACCCCTCCGCAAAAAAAAGATGTTGTCATGTCACAAAATGTAAAAGATACTAGAAGCAGGTGGAGGGAGAGAGAAGTGCGATACACTGGGATCTGTAGTTGATAAACACCTATTTAATTAAGTTCACTAAGTTAATTAAGAAAATGGATAGTCTTATTAGAAGTATTGTTCATTACACTGAAGTGCAGTTAGGCTATTCTTAATGGTCACTGTTTCCCTTAATATTGCCGTAACTTCTGTTTTAATATTGTAACAGTATGACGGATCTACTAACACATAACCTTTTTGCCATGCCTTCTCATCTCTGAACTCCCTCTGCCAGAAAGTGATGTTTTCAATTGTTTTAGATTTATCAATTGCATCTACTTTCCTGTCTTTCAGGTATATTGCTATATATCCTTACACTCCTCGAAAAGATGATGAACTGGAACTGAGGAAGGGAGAAATGTTCTTAGTGTTTGAACGCTGTCAAGATGGTTGGTTCAAGGGAACTTCCATGCATACAAGCAAGATTGGTGTTTTTCCAGGAAATTATGTGGCTCCAGTTACAAGGTTTATTTTTATATAAGTATCTAAATAGCTTATCTAGTTTCAGCTCCAAAATGATTCTGTTATTGTATTTAATGCTAAAATTGGATAATAGAAGAGCTGCAGGTTTTAGTAGCTAGCTCATTTTTCAGATGTGATTTAGCATTTTGCTTTTAATTTTGGCAGGACAGTGACAAGTACATCACAAACAAAAGTTCCCATGTCTACTGCTGGCCAGACGGGACGAGTGGTAACTATGGTCAGCCCTTCCACTGCTGGTGGGGCATCACAGAAGCTCCAGGGGAATGGTGTGGCAGTGAACTCCAGCACAGTACCCACAGCTGTGGTTTCTGCAGCACATATCCAAACTAGTCCTCAAGCCAAGGTCCTCATGCATGTGACAGGACAAATGACAGTCAACCAGGCTCGCAACGCAGTTAGAACAGGTAAAAATCAATCAAGAAATAAAATAAAGCTTTTTATGTTTGGTAGCAAACTGTAGGGTCTGTCTGGGCAAGTCAGATTATGCATAAATATCTGCTGGGCTTTCTGAAAGTATTTTTATGTTATTTTTAGAGTTGAGTGCTTTCTGAAATGGCAATATTTCTCTCTGAATTGTTGAATCTTTAATTATTCTCCTCTAAGCAACTGTGTGTAGATATGTACTCCTACTGTTGGGAAATTATATGCAAGTATTTTAGATGGAATTTTTGTTACTTCATTAGTATCTGGGATGGGGACATTCTTTGAGCTTTCCCACTCATACACAATTCAGATAGTAATGAAAGTGATAAGAACATTTGAGTCATAGCTTTTTTTTTTGTGCTAACTGCATAACAGCTACAGATTGCTCTAATTTAGCATTCACTTTTAAATTATCTCCTAGCGTCCTTGAAGACCTTTAGCATTCATTCCTCCTTCTTTTTCAGGTCTGTGGCTCAGGGTTAGTTCTTAGGTATTCCAGTTTGTTCTCTAACCTTGACTGCAGCCTCTTTCGCTTTGACTCTGAAACAGTAAGGCTATACTGACTTCAAGATCCATGTGATTTGTCATAAAATTCTGTATGTCTGACAGGTATAACTCTGCCTTTACTGTCTTGGGGCAGGCCACATCACAGTGAAACATGCCTTCTTGTTGTTTAAATCCCAGATCCAAAAGATTGATAGTGGTGCTTTCAAGAGTTTTTGTTTACCAAATCCAGGCACTCCTCTGTGGATTTGCCAGGCTAGGAAAATACCACACAAATGGAGTCTAATCTGTTCCAGTTACTCCTAGGGCCTCAAAAGAAAAGGGAAAAAAACCCAACCCAAACCTTCATTTCAAACTATCCCAGTATTCCCTCTTTCAGCCTTAAATTTGGCGCCTAAGATCTATTGTTGAGACAAAGGGTTTTTTCATCACAAGGCTCTTACTGGCAGAGTGGAAGAGAAAGCAGAAGTTGCAAATGGTACTGTTATCCTCTTAATGGTGATTTATTTATGGTCTTGAGATCCATGAATTAACCCACCATCTTCAGAGTCATGCATCTCCTAAAACACTGTCCGTGTTCAGATGTCAGCACCAGATTTCCTTTTGGAGGAGGTAGGATATGTACATAGATATTTTATTTCCTTAGTTGGTGCCATCTTCCTCCAGTGTGATCTTAGGCTGGAACAGATGTGATAGTCCTCTGTAAAAACTTTATTCTTTACCTTTAAAAAACAATAACCAGGTGGTATTGGCAGCTGGTAAGAGAAACTAAGCAAAGCATCTGTGCTTTCCTGCCTCTCAGGCATAGGTGATTTCTACTCTAAATTCTTTTGAGCTGCCTAGAAGCTTGCAAAGTGACAGCACAAAGGAGAAAGCTCCTGTAGGCTCCGGAAGCCTTTCTGTCCCCGCATCTCTGCACTGCTGTGAAGACAGATAAGATCTTACAGTTCCATTCAGCTGGAAAACACAACAACATGCTTCCCAACTTTTCAGGTCCAAATGGAAAATTCAGATGGGCTGCACTCTCTTCACAGAGAACTTAACATAGGATTGTGATCTGAAGATACACAATTCAGTCACAAATACAGATCTGTCCCTTACAAGAGCGTGAGAACTGAAGCAGTAACAGCTGCTTTATGTTCAAATGTTAGAGAACTTTGTCATCAGCATCTGAAATGTGATCATCTTGAGCTTTCCCTGGTACCTTTGCTAAGTGTTAGTCTCTTGATGAAGCTTCATAGATCAATGCTGCGTATTTGCAGGGCTGTTCTTCAATTTCAGTTTAGCTCAGGACTTCAAGAACCCTTCTTCAAATGATCTTAGTGAGACATTGCCTTACATCACCCTTGCTGAGGGGGTTTGCATCCTTTGATTGAAAGGAACTTTGAAAATGTTCAAGTTACTCAGAGTTAGGAAGGGTCTGCTACAGGGGAAGAGGTTGTGTATCAAAAAATGGAGATAGCATTTAGTGGTGCTTTCTTTTTAAGAAAGAATTTGTGTTTCTTATCATGGAGATTTTAACTGGGTATAATAATGCAGGATTGTTATATCAAACTTGTGAACTTTGTCAGTCTTCTCTTATACATGGTTGATGCAATCTAAACAAATTACCAGGGGAATTTGTAGATGGCAAACTGAAGAGATCACGTGCCTGAGGCTTGATTCCAGGATATCACTTATAACAAACCTGAAACTCTAAGCAGTATCTGAAAAATCAGAGTGAATTGATATGTTTGAGATTTACGTGCATCAAGCTAGAGAGATGTCCCCTTGTTAGATACTGTGTTTCAGAGTATTTGAAGGAAAGAGACTGTTCAGCCCTGGGATGCTGCATTTTGCCTCATATTATTCAGTTGTTTGCACTTCATACTACCCAGTGCTGCAGAGGTATGCTGTTGAAATGATCCAAAAGCATATATGGTTGACAATGTAATTATAATAGCAGTGTTGTTTCTTGAGAAGGATAAATTAGTTAATGCAGAGCTCTATGCTTTGCAGCTAGGCTGCAGCCCATGTTGGTATATTCAACCCTGTGCTGTTCTGCAACTTCCAGTGTGAATGTTCCTTTTATTTCACAGGGGTATGAGTAAATTCACTTCTATATTTAAACATCCCAAGAGACAAGAGCTTACGTTTTCAGAGAAACCACTCATAGCACTAATTGCCACTGTACTTATTGTTTGAAAGACCCACTAAATCTGTTGTGGATTTTGTGAATAATTTAGGGAAAACAATCCAATTATATTTTTAGTAGCTTCTATAAGGAGTGTTTCTTCCTACTTTGTTTTATGTGCCCTGACAACTACACAGCATATTAAAAGGAACAAACAAGTTCCAGGCTGTATTTAGCTAGCTCTTACAAACTAAAGCATAATCTTCACTTTGCATCTCTCTGTATGTAAAGCATTTTACTTAGCAGCTTGGACTTCTCTACAGTAGTTGCAGTGCTGTTATTCTTCTGTGCATACTGGTGCAAGTAGGGTAGCATATGCTACTTCATTCTGGTGAGACGAATTTGATGCAGTGTAAGATGTCATAGTAATATAAATGGGAGTTAGGAAGATGGGAAGGAAGCTTCTTATGACTGGTTAGCTATAACTCAGTAACTATACCTCTCTGTGTGTCTTGTGAAAAGATGACCTGTCACATTTTATTCTTTTGTTGTAGTTGCTGCACACAGCCAAGAAAGACCTACAGCAGCAGTCACACCCATACAAGCACAGAGTCCAACATGCCTTATTCCTGCAGCTGTGATCATTCCCCACCACTCTGTTGCCTCCCAGCAGCTCCAGCCCCCAGCAAATAGTGCTGCTTATGTCACAGCTGTGAATGTGCACCGCTCAACCATCCCACTGGCATGTGCAGCAGGTTCTTTGAATTCTCCCAACATTGCTGCTTCATCTTTGGAGGGAGATGTTAGTGGAAGAACTGTGAACACTCACGCTGGAGCTCCTGCATCTCCAGAGAGTGCTCTAGCAGCTGGTGGAAATGCTGCTGTCAGTAAAGCAGACAAGGATGGCAAGGTGGGTAGAGAATAAAATAATTCCCTTGAATTCTACCATTTTTATCATGCAAACTTTCAAGAGATCCTTTTTTTCTCTTATATTTTTTTATTGAACAGCAGCACTGTAATATTTCTTAGACTGAGTCTGAAGCTCAGGCAGCCATTTTGTGACTGCAGCCATGGGCAAATATATTCTTGGCCACACAAGAATAACTTAGGGTGGATAAAATATGGAGCAGACCTTGGAGAAGGGTTAAAATAGGGTAGCAGGTTCATGCCTTAAGCAGGAGAAACAAAAGGTAAATGGATAAAGTTCAGAAGAACTAGTAGATTCACTGTTGGAATTTCAAATATTTTGTTTTTCTTTATCTACAGTCAGTTTCCTAAATACTTTAGAAAGTTGTATGTTTAGCATATGTTATCAGGAAGTATCTGTAAACTAATAAGCCTATAATTAAAACAAAACCCCAACAACAAAATAACCCACACAGACAAAAACCCTATGAACTTGTGGGAATATACAAAAAAACCAGTCTAACAAAATAAACCTAATATACAGTAGAAGTCATTATTTTTTTAGGTTACTTTCCTGGTTAAGCAGACACCCTGAGAGACTGTGAAAAACACATGTATGTGTACAAGCAGTGCTTATTGTACAAAGGAAAAAACGCACAGAACTCTTTGTCTTTTCTAAATGTAGTGATTCTGCTTTCTGTCCTCCTATTTGAAATATTTTCCTCTGTGTCTAAACTTATTCTCACTGACCAACAGCCATGTGATTATAGTATATTGTAGGCAGAAACATTCCTTCGACTTTATAACTGGTTTTGTTATACAGTTGTGGTGTAGTTAGATTTTTTTTTTTCTCCTTTTGACAACTTTTTTTTACATATCAAATGTTTTAGGCTTTACCTTATTACTCTTCAGCCACATGCTTTCTTAATGAAGTTTTTGAAGGGTTTAATCATACGCTGTATGCTAATTTCATCCACTTTTTAATTATTTTTGTTGATTATTGTTGAGTGGATGTACCTAGAACTTTGTCTTAAAATTACTTTAGTCGTAGGCACTGAAATCAGACTGAGGTGCCCTTAGACAGGACTTCTGGAATCATAGCATGGTTTGGGTTGGAAGGGATGTTCTATGTGTTTGACAGTATGTTCTACAGTTTAGGGTTAGAGATGCTAACATACTCTTTGAGCTTCTCTTTTTCTTTCCCATTTGCTAGACAGCAGTCTTAGCTAATACAGCTTTAAGTTACTGGAGACTTGTAAGAAGGACTGATGATTTTTCATTCACAGTTCACCAATCCCACTGCATCCCAAGATATAATAAAAATCTCACATTGCTCATGGTTTTCTCTTTCTGTGGTTAAACAGCTTATTTTTGTCTCCAGGGCTTACAATCTGGCACCTCTCATAAGCACTAAATTCACTCAGTCAAAGGGCTGGTAAGAAGATCACTGCCACACCCCTTAAAAAAAAAAAAAAAAAAGACAAGAAACACAAAAACTACTTAAATAATTCTCTTCAGGGTAAGTAATAGTCTTCAGGGATTCCTGTCTGGACAAGCAAAAAGAATGTTTACAATTCTCCCCTCTAGCAGAGCAGCAAAGCACAATACATTCTCCTCGTGGCAAATTTCTGTTAAATCATGAAGGTCTTCCTTTGCTGAGGGAGGATAAGTAAAAGACACTTACCTAAACAGCAGCCTCCAGGGCCGACTTTTCTCTGTGCTTGGTTTGAAATGACTCTTCATGCCTTCCTAGAAACTTCCATGTTAGCAAAATGTTTTACTTTTAGGCCAGCGGCTTTGGCTTTTAATGTAAGTCTTAACTAAAGCGAAAGGACTTAGCTGGTTTATGGTCTAAAAGACGCACTGTTTTTCTCTTTAGAATTTTAACAATTATCTTTATTAATTTGTACACTCTCAAATATGTCCTTGTAATTTACTGAGTCCTCTCTGATTACAATGTCCTCTTGTCAGAAGGAAGTGTTCAGCTCTTCACAGGAGACACTTGTTCTAAAATGAGGCACTACTTTTGATTTACAGAAAGAAAAAAAGGGTTTACTGAAACTGCTTTCTGGAGCATCCACTAAACGCAAGCCCCGATTGTCACCTCCAGCATCACCAACGCTGGAGGCTGAGCAAGCAGCTGCAGAGTTAGCCCTGCAAGGTGCAGTTGGGCCAGAGCTTCCATCAGCCGGCAGTCACAGCAAAGTTGGACCCTGTCCCACCGACAGTGAGGTCTCTGGGCTGGCGCAGGAGACAGTACATCGGAAAACAAGTTCCCTGGATTCCTCTATTCCTATAGCGCCACCGCCTAGGCAGCCTTGCTCATCCCTGGGTCCGGTCCTGAGTGAATCCAGGCCTCTTGTCTGTGAAAGGTAAATTATCTTATACAGCTAGACTCAGGTAAACCAAGGAAAAATCCACTCACTGACGCGTGTATGTTAGAACTGTTGCAAAATGCTGAGATTTTCTAGCAAGAGGAAACTTATTTTTATAACAACGCCTTATATACACTTATCAGCCAGTGCTCATGTTTATTTACTTTTTGTGTTACTTTGAGGTTTTGGAATGAATAGACACTCAAATACACTGATCAGAGGTTTGGTATGAGAACTGAGGTAGATAAAATTTACAACATCCACACATTATACTCTTGCATTTATGCATATCAGGTTAGTCCTTTAAGATTATTAGCAGTGCATAACTGCCAACCTAAATATATGGTGAACAAGATCCTTATCTATGAGTAGGCTTAATACACGATTTCTTCAATGTTGCAAAAATGCTTCTACTACCTGAATGCCCTGTTACTGTGCACTCCACATAGCAAGCACTAAGGCAGCCTCCATGTCCTGGCAAGTGAGCCTGAAAAACATATAGCTGTCTGGACTCTGAAACTGCCAGGCAGTTGCTTTAAAGTTCTGTCACTTTTGTGCCCACCTATGATTTTCAAGTGTCCAAGTCCTCAGTAGATTTCACAGACTGTGAAGGAAGTGGCAGTTTTCTAACTGCTGTCTCTTTTTATTATTCCTAGTAGTAGATAAGCAATATATAGAGTGTCATAGGATTTCTTTTGCAGTAGCTACAGGATTGTGTAGCATACAGAAAAAAGCCCAGTAGAGTTGCAGTGTTAACAGCTCCAGGACTGAACTGATTTATGCTGACTATTGTAGACTTTGTTCTGGTACTATTAACTCATGCTGTGTGGGCATACCATTGTATTTCCAGAGGCCCATTGATTTTAAGCTATATCTGTGTATTAGAAGCCAAACAGTGTATAAGGTTTCTACTTTGTCTTTTATTTTACTTTTGTCATACCTTTAATATTTTTAAAAACGTTGATACTGTTTCTATGGCATTTCCTTGCAGGAAATTTCTATTTTACACTGAATTTTCAAAGTCGATTTACAGATGGAAAATAAAAGCTGACAGACTTTTATTTAAGAATAACATCATTTATTTTCACATTATCATAAGTCTGTTTGGGACAGTAATATGGTTTTATACTTTGAATGTGAAAATAACACTAAATTCATTCTGGCATGACCAGTGGATATTTGTGTAAAGCTGTTTGCATTCTCAGAAAAAGTAGTCTTTTCACTTCTGTGATGGATTTTTTTTTTTCTCAGAACTACTTAGAGAAAATGATGCTTACAGAATTACCTACAGAAAATGCTTACTTATTGACCTAGTAATAACGTACACTCAAACACTCTTTTTAATATATCCCTGTATCCTTACTATTGTTTAATTGCTAATTGCTACCAGAAAAGTGCTACCACAAGATCATTCGCTCTGGTAATCATGCAGAATCGTAACTTTTTGGTCCATGTATTTGAACAGAATTTCACCTGGGTTCCCTTTGTCCTTTTCAAGGCAGGGTTAATGTTTTTCATGCTGATGTGCTCTTGTGACTTTTCCATTTCCTTAGGCCAAACTGCTTAAAATGTGTTGCTTAATAGTAGTTACTACTTACATTGTATCATCAAAGTAATTTATAAGCATTGATTAATCTTCATTAGTCTGGAAGAAGGGGTAGATAAGAAACATACTGATGTTTCAAGAAGAGGAAAATATTCCTAAGGATAAGCTCAACAAAAAGATGAAGAACAGAGAAATCTCCTGCTAAGGTTATTCTGCTTTTACGTATCACAATTGCAATCACAGGCTACAATGTGGTTGGAAAAAGAAACAGTGCTCTGCAATGTAATTATTAGTGTTCAAGTTTTATTTTCAAAGGTGACTGGAGGATTTAGGAGTCAGTTTCTGCTAATTATCCTACATGAATTAGGAGCAAAAGTAGCTGGCTCAACTCTGGAAAGTACTTGAAAATGTTCCTGGTTTGGATAAGGAGTTTTCCAGGAACTCCTTGCTTCCTTTCAGATGCAGTATCAAATTTTTACTCTAATCCTGCTGTTTCTTCTTTCACTAGAATTGTAAGTTGTCCTAGAATGTGTCATTGCTGTATGTTCTTCAGAAAATTGGAATTAAAAATTGTGAGCATGTTTCCAATCATACAGAATATATGGTTGGGCATTTGATTTGTTTGATAGCAGACAAGCTTTTTGGGACATGGCTTTGCAGATGGATTCTTCATACCAGTGGCCATTTCACTAAAGGAGGGGAAGATGATCCATTCCCTTTCATCTTACTATTGCAGGTCTTCTCTGTAGTTGCCATTCCAATATTCACTCTTCTCCTGTGAGCTAGGTTGTTGCTTATTGTGGTCCATGGTCTTCTATATGTTCCTTGTACAGAAGGAGCAGAGAAATCAAACAGAAATTTCAGCTAAGCCTTGCTTCCAGTTTGGAGCAGTTTGGAGAATTCCTGCACCTGAGACACTGCAACAGTGTTCAGTCATTTCTTCTGATTCTCCAACCAAGACACAAGTTATCTTCAGACACTGGGATTTCATGTATTGATGCAGTACACTGACAAGGCTAAGGATCACTGTCTTTTCACTAAAACGATAGACCAAACTCCCTGTAATTCCTGGAGGAAATTACATTCATACCATGTTATGCTATGAATACACAGTAATTTGGTTATCTGAGGGTTGTGGGTTTTTTTTTTTCCCATAACAAGAAGTAAAAGACTATTTCAACCTTTTTTTCATGAGCTTTCTCTTTTCGAGAGAAACACTGATTAAAGCCTTAAGTTTTACAGTAAATATACAGCACTGTAATAACAAACTTCCCGGCACCCCGCAGCGGTGTTAAAGACCTGAAGTTGAACCTAAATACACATCACTGCATATCCTAAACTAGAATATGAATCCTTTATCCAGTTACAGTGAAGGACAGCAGTAATTTTGTTCTGTGATTAAAGTGACCCTAAGTTATTTTATCTACCACAAAATGACTGGTGTAACATCTGCTTCCAGTAAGCAGGCCAGAGGGCAGCAGGCCTTATCACATCTGGCAGCTTTAGTGCTGTTAATTAAATGCTGCCCTAGACGGGTGTTGATCATCTGTAGGAGTCAAGGCACCTATTCAGCAGAAAGGAGAGAGCTGCGCAACACCAGCACACAGGTGAGCTGAAAAGTAAAAATTCAAAGTGCAAGAAAAAGAAACTCAAATAAGATGAATAATAAGTATGAATTTAACTTGTGCAACAATAGTAATTCCAGCTTTCTGTGTGTTCCTCATCTAAAATTTTCTGCGCATGAGAATATATTTTTATCTACTTGGTGATTAGAAAACCACAGATAACCGTGCAAAAATAAACTACAAATAGCTGTGAAGGAAAGCAGTATTTTGTGTCTAGTGAAACAGAAACAATGTAGAAAGGGAAGAACACGTGGAAGATAGAATCTTTTTCATGTTACTGAAAAGTGTGAGCAATGCCAATATTAAAAATTAGAAGCGTAAAGGTGAAGACAGGCCATGGCCACCACGCCTCCCCCTGAGAAAAGTAATTCACACATACAAAGGGCAAAAGCACTGCAGTCGCATTAAGAATGGCAGGAAAGAACTGATGGCAAATACTGTGGCTGCTTCTGGGAAGCTAAAGTACTTTTATAATATTAATATTTTATCACTAGCTGATTAAAATTAAATTAGGATAATATTTTGAAAATTAACAAAAAATGCCATAAGAAAATACAAAGAAGGAACGCACACTGTGCAGCTTAGGTGCATGTAAAATATTCTAGATTAGGTAGTCTAGGTGGCCATGAAAGATCTGCAAATTTCACCTTCAGTCATTGCAAACATTTGCAAGTACTGAACAAGGCAATAAACAAGGAAAAGTTTTGGGAGATTCAAACATGTGGGAATGAACATGTTTTTCCAAAACATAGGTCATGCTTAGTAAATGTGGTTATTTTTCTCTGGGGACCTGGCACTGAGATTTTAAGATGAAGCATAGGCTTTTTACTCTGGATGAAATTGGTAGTTTTGGCAGTTTGTTGTAGGTGATGAGCTAGGAAATAGAAAAATAGGTTTTCCATAATCGTTTAGAGTGACCTGAATAGACAGTTGTGAGAATGTGTGATGAGTCTGGATCTGATCACCTCAGTTTGGGCAAACGGAATTTGTAAAATGTGGCATAAAATTTGATGGCTTGTAGTAACAAAAGAAGGAGATGAGATTTAAGGGTGTAAAGCCTGATGGGTTTCTTCTCATTAAACATTGAAAAATATAGTAAAATAGCACTTTAACACCAGGTGCTTTGGTTTAGACATTAGATTACAAGAATTGGATATCAATGTAGTCAGGAAGCTAAAAATTAATGACAAGTACTAAATTACTGCAGAGTTGAGGGAGCTCAAAACTGTGGAAAGCCCAGGAGAACAGTAAGTTCTTTTTTGTATCAGGTGCTTAAGAAAAATTGTTGAGTTGGCCACCTTTTTAAATGTTTATTTTTAATATAGTACAGCTGTGCCCAGGTCAGATGGAATGTATTCTAGCCTGAAAAGTTTCGAAGATAAATGAAAATAATTTAAAACAGCAGTGCAAATTAATAGGTTTTGCTACCTGCTTCTTGTTGTTCTGTGCCTTAAGAGCCGTCTCTGAGATAATATCATCTTAAACATACAGTTGTAATATTATCCCCAGTTACTGCTGTGGATGCTTTGATTGTTGTTAAGTCACGCTGTCTGGAACAGTCTGAAGTTTATATTCAAAAATACATCTTAAATTTTCTCCTGTTACTTAAATATTACCTGGATTTTTACAGGAATCTTAGTGAAAAAAGCTTGATAGGAGATGTATACATTTTACTTGAATTCACTATGTTTCTATTTGTATTTTCTATTCAAGATGTACAACTTTTGTTACATGCTCAGCAAACAGTTCTAGGCAGTTTCCTGTTTTCATAAGTTTTAACTTTTACAGGAATATTTTTTAAAGCATTGGTTTAAAAGAGCCTAAATGAAGGTGTGTTTTTCTAATTACACAGGTACAGGGTTGTGGTATCCTATCCTCCTCAGAGCGAAGCCGAACTTGAACTTAAGGAAGGTGACATTGTTTTTGTACACAAAAAACGTGAGGATGGCTGGTTCAAAGGCACTCTGCAACGAAATGGAAAAACTGGCCTTTTCCCTGGAAGCTTTGTAGAGAACATTTGAGAAGATCATTCTAAGAGCTTCAAATCATACTGTACTGTAAAGTAGCACAAATATTTTACCAGAAATAGCACAGTCATGAAATATTTTCAAATGACTGTAATGTAAACAAAAATCTACATATTTTTACAGTGTCTATAGCACAATTACACCAGCGAACAAAGAAGATGAAGGCATCTGCTGGTTTTATCACTTTGGATTCTTAAGTGTGATGTGTGCCTTGTACTGTCTGATTTATTATATAGAGGAACTTTTCTTTTCCCCTCCCCCAAGTATGTTACATAAATGAACAATTGTTTACAAGGCTGTAACTAATTTATTCTTGTTTTTTTAAACTTGAATTTTGTGTAATAGCTGAAATTCTTGTGACTATGATTTTAACAAATTATTAATTTATGAAAGAATAAGGGGAAGCTGGATTCTCTCCTTATGAGCAAGCAATTATATCTGATAAAGAGCCTCCCGTTTATCCTCTGGACATTTTTCCCCTGCTGTGTCTGACAGTGGAGTAAGTCTCTGTTTTATGAGTTAATGTTGAGTGGTGGTGATGTGGCGTCAAATAGAATTTGCCAAGTGGGGAAAAAATGTGTATGTTGTTCTTTGGACAGAGAAAAAAATGTCAGTGGTGTTCTTAAGTCTAGTTCTACTTCGTCATAAATCACCCAAGTGGAGTAATGTTTCCAGGAGGCAAAGATGTATGTGAACAACTGAATAAAATTCAACCATCTCAAGGTTAGGATCATCTCAAGGTTAGGAAGGAAGAAATTTAGGAGTGCCAATAAGAAATTCCCTATACCTTCTGTTTATGTAGTAACTTGGCTATTCGAACAAAGCTTAGCTTTGTATATTTGGCCAGTTATTTGGGCATTTAGCGCTCAGGATCCAACGAAATTGGAAAGAATGTTAAAGCCCAACACTTAGAATGATCATATCTTGAAAACATCTTTTTGATAAGACTGAAAATAAAAATAAAATTATAAGTTGTACTTAATGTCTAAAATTGCCTAAGAAGTGTAATTTGCTGTTTTCTTCTCAAACTGATCTGCATGGCCAAGAGATGTTTTAAAATGTCTGAGCAATAGTGGTGGTAAGTGATGCACTTGTGTTAAAGTAAAAGGCTGTATGAAACACTGTGAAAACTTTACTAACTTCTTAACCATTGCTACTTTGGTATGTTCTGACCTTTTCTTTGTCTTGCATGTGTTACTCAGTTCCTGCAGTACTTATAACTGTGCATGGTTGGCATCTTTCACTCCAGTTCCCTGTTGCTGGGTTATTTTGCTCTGAAAGTTTCCCAAAAGCCACTTGACCAAAACTAGTGAGCAACTTATCTTCACCCAGAGAAGATGTCCAGTGTTTGAATCATTAATAAAATATTTCAATGTCCTTGCAGCTGATGGATATAAAGAATACAGCCAGCAAGAAAAGCATTGTTAGTATTTCAGGGGTTTGTTAGAGATTTGACACTGGTCAATACACACGCTACTGAGCTGAACTTGTTGGTTTTCAATTTCACTGTTTGATTATAACAGTTTAATAGAGATTTTTTTGTAAGACACTGAGCACCGTCATCTCCAGTTAAATCTGATGTAATTTGGCTGTTACTCAGCACTTTACAAAGCGAAGCCAGTAGTGTGATTCAGTGTCACACAGCACACAGAAACCGTGATGAAAAAATACACAGTGATATGTTAAATCCTTCTCATGTTTTGTTTTTTGAAGTTATACATTGAAAAATATCAAATGTTAATGACGAGGAGTTCTTGCAATATCAGGTAATATGATGATGGTCTTAAAGATAAGAAAAAATATATCTATAAATATATATAGTTGGACATGACAACATTCCCAAATTAAACATCTCTCTGAAACACTGTATAATTCAGTTTTTGCATTTTTAAATATTTTTAAATAGTTTACTTGAATATTCATGTAATATATAAAATTTTTGTGAAATGAATTTTAGTTAGAAATAAGCTGATCTCAGCTTTTGTCAGCATAAATTGGCACTAGTGTGTCATAATCTTATTTTGGAAAATTTAGTGCATTTTATATTAAAGACTACTAAAGGTTAATTTTTTTCTATCTCTACTATCCATATTTTAAGCTAAGTGACTAAGGTACCTCTTAATAGAATTTCATGGTGTAAAGTCAAAAATCAGCTGTTAATCCAATAGTTCTGTTAGATGGAATACATTTTTAATTGATTTTTTTAAATTTTAAGTAAATGTTTGTAAAAAGGGCTTATTACATAGCAGTGCAGCAATGACAAAAATGCAGTTTATCATGCCTTTTTTGTGATGTTTTAGGGGTTATTTTTTTGTTTTGGCTTGGGATTAATTCAGTGTAGAAACAGACAAACCCTGTGCATTTGCTTTGTGTAATTCCATAGAACATTTTGTAAGGTATTTTATATCTATGTTTGAAGTCCAGTGAATGTTAAGTGTTTGATTTACTATGTTAAACTTCCAATCCTAATAAATATTTTCTTAGCAAACAGCTATATCAAAATGTGTATGCAAACATTAAACATAAATTACTTGTAAAGAATTTGACAATAAAATTACCAGACTTCATTTCAGAATTCATAGGGGAGGGTATTTCTGCTCATAGAGGGAAAAGTCTTCAGATTTCATAATGTTAGGAGTTTGAAATGATGAATATAATGCAAAAATTGTAGAGAGAACTGAGGATCTGGCTGATCTTTTCCATCTCCTTATTTCTGCAGGTAACTTCAGAAGAGGTAGGTAATTTCCATCTCAGTCTGATCATGACTGACTAGTTTGGTCTTGTCACAACGCATCAGGTGCATAATCATTATGAAGTGGTTCCCCTAAAGGAAGAAGTGTCTAGCATAGTGGATCTGCTGTGTGAATATTGAGAGTCCCCAGCCCTGAGGGTGAAGCATCTACCTGAACTTTGCTGAGGGCTCAAGTGTTTGGTAAAAGACTCCTTTGCGCTGAAGAAGTTTGCTGTGCACAGCAGTCAGACAGTAATTGCCTAACTAGGAGATCTTCTTGATTTGAATGCAGTTACACGTCTACTATATACGTGTGACTGCTATGAAAATGGCAGAAAGTTAATCTTTCAAGTGTCTGCAGAAATGTTTAATCTCTGGATGTTTCAACTACTGTGACAGACTCCTTGTTACTTAAGACTGTCCAGGACTTAGATTCTGCCAGCAGTGAGTGATGCAGCATTATATCCTCTCTGCAAAGAAGGAGCATCCAGTTTAACTTGCCTTAATTAGTGGGGGGGAGGCAACGTGATTTGTAGAAATACAGATTGGAAAATATAGAAAAGCAGCTTTATTTGTTTTTCAGAGCTGAGATGTGATGTCAGTGCATCCATAGGAGAAAAGTACACACAAACATCATCGCTGTGCAATAGAAGTAAGACTGTTTTATTGGGTTGGGGTTTTTTTGCAATTGTAATTATGGAATCATTCTAATATGTGGCTAACATTAGGCTTGCCAAAAGTGCCTGAAATCTTGTTCACCCTTACTTCATTACCTCTGCCTTATAGCAGTAGTGACAATTACGATAGTTTTGCACAGGCTTAAAAACATGGCTTCTGAGCATTCTGGCTTTTTTTCACAGGGCTGGCAAAATATTATAACTGGCTTGTTCTTTCCAGTAGCTTTAAGCAAATGTGTTTAAAGAGGTGTATTGGCTTTAATGAAACACAAGAATCCGCTTGTCTAGTTTAAAAGATTTGTGTCTGGCAGTACTAGAACTCCTAGAGAAGATGTTTTCCTATATGTGCACAACAGATAGCAATGCCACTGGTTTCTGTAGGACATGGCAATGCATCCATATTCTTAACATGAATCTGCAATATGTATACTTCTCAAATCACACTCGGGTGCCCTTTCCCTGCGCTTTGATAAATGGTTAATGGTAAAGCCTAAACAGATCTGGAGTTTGACTCGCGCAAACCCAGTGTCATAATTCTTTTTAATGACTTATTAATAGGCTGGCATACTTGGAATATTTGTATATACATACGAAAGAGCTGAGAATGGTGATGGTGGATGGTGAGGACATGGATATTAAATGTGAGGAAAAAACTGGGAAAGAGAAAGGGATTTGGAAGACCTGTATGTGGGACCTGCCTCTTAGGTAACTTATTTGGATCTTATCTCAGTTACCAAAGTCCAGCTCTGTGAAAGGACCTAGGAGGAACTTGGATGTCTTAAAGTTGAAAATGCAGCCCTCGGTCTTTAGCTAGTGTATTCAGCTTATATTTGGTGCTTGTGTCTAGAACAACTGCTGTTGTGGTAGGCCCGAGTTGCGTTGTTGTTTTCATGTCAAAATGCATCTGAAATCCAAGACCAGTCATCTGAATTCCTGAATTACCTGAAAGGCTTGATATGATGGGTGTGCTTTGAGAATGTGTGTATATATGTATATATATATATATATATATATCTCACACTGAGTACTGTATTAAAAACACAACAGGATTTGCAGATTTGCATTAATAACAGGGTTAATGTCCACTTTCTACAGAGTCTATGCAGTAGCACTAATATTAGAGGGCTCTCTTGAGAAATGGTATGGATGCAATGAATTTTCCTTCCACTGTGTCATCCATATTGCTCTTACTTTCTAGGAGACAAATTTGTTGAGAGCCTTGAAGTTAGCAGCTGCTCTTGAAAACCTGAGGTCTCCCCTTTTGGAACCTCAGTTTCTTCATTTGCCAAACTGACAGTTCCCGTTCTTGCAAGGTATGTGGTGTAAAACTTGTTTTGAAAGTAAAGGCTGACTGGCTTTCATGAATTTGCAAATAGATTCTGACATATTAGACCTGCCTGTAGTATATCTAATACAATCAACAGCTGGAACAGCTAAACTCTTCCCCTAGAGAAGTGTCCTGAAGACTTTACATCTGTGGGTAGGAGACTTAGCTGATCCATTTTAACAGCTGAAGAGTGCTTTGATCGGAATCAGCCCAATACGAGCAACAAAACAAAAATGAATTTGCTATATCCAGTCTGCAGTGTGCAAAAGCCATTCAAAAGGTACCATAATGAGCCTTTCATGCATGCCTATCAAATCTCAGCGGTACACTGAATACAATATTAGCAGATGTCAGTACTATTTATCTGTTCCTTCTACTGTATTCTTTCCTGTTAGCTGTATTATTTTCTGAAAGAGAAGTGGCAAAATCAGTTCTTAGTTTCTCTGCCATTCCTACTCAGTGGAATAGAGACAATTTAACCACAGTAATGTTAGCCTCAGATTTCAATTA